AAGTGCAGACAGGATTGAACCCCAGAAATCTAAAACTCGTGCATTTGCTAGGCCACCTCATCAAGATTGATATTTTAAAAATGCTTTGCCTTCAACAGTCATTATTTCAAGTTTTCCCTGATTATTTCTATCCCAGTTGATTTCTCCCTTTGTATTCTGTAGCATGTTATATACAACATGGAATTAGCTCTCATGGATTTCTTTTATTATTTATTTATTTATTTTTAAAGATTTTATTTATTTGACAGCACAAGCAGGGAGAGTGGCAGGCAGAGGGAGAGGGAGAAGCAGACTCCCCACTGAGCAGGGAGCCTGATGTGGGACTCTATCCCAGGATCCCGGGATCATGACCTGAGCCGAAGGCAGACACTTAACCAGCTGAGCCACCCGGGTGCCCTCATGGACTTCTTTTAATTCTTTTCTTTCACATGTATCTGTCTTCTCATAATTTGTGTAGTTGGAGGGGGGCATGATTTGTCAGGCAGATTAAGAAGTAAGATTATGAAGAGACTGTTCGTCCATACTGAGAAGATAAACCTGCCTTTTCCGAAGCACTGTTTCCATGAAAATCATTATTTCAGACCATCTTACCTGGTTGCTGAAGGGCCTCTGGTGACAGTGTTAACCTAGTTCAGGTTTGTATGCACGCTTGAAAATTACCTAGAGGTGTCTCCTAAATAGCTTATAATTCCGGCTCACCACTCCCCATCCCCCAGGATAAATGGATACTTTCTTAAGTAATGAGTCCAGACAAGACATAAAAATTACATCATCAAAACAAAGAGATCATTTGTTTGCACTCTTTTCTTGTCCCAGCATCATCATATTCCTGCCCCTGTTGTAAGACCACACCCTTTAGTGGAACAGGAAAGTTGGTAAGAGGAATTAGCCACCCGTCATGGCCTGACTCTAGCCGTTGAGAGTTTCTAGGAATGGAGCAAGAAGTAGAGATTGGGGGTGGTAGGTAACCCTTTTCCAGCCCATGGGCTCAGCTTCTAAACACGTTCATGTGTAGCTGTTTAAACAGCCACGCGGTGAGGCTGTGGCTCTGTGGAAACCCGTCTCAGTAGGACCTGGTCACTCATCCCACGCGGGGAGGCTGTGGCTCTGTGGAAACCCGTCTCAGTAGGACCTGGTCACTCATCTCTCCACCCTGCCACTCTCTTCCCTCTGCCTCTTCATGTGCTGATCTGCCTTGTACCTTGTTCCCTTGATGGTTCCTAAAGAGCTTGGGTTCTGGAGTCACACCGTCCTGGTTGTGAATCTCTCTCAGCCTTGGTTTCCCTCTCTGTGAAGGGAGATAAGGGGACCTGCCTCCCGTGGGAAACCCACTCTCGCAGACTGCTGGGGGGTGGTGTAAATGGGGGCCACCCTTAGAGGCCATTTGGCAACATAGGCAAAGTATGTGCAGATGCCTTCCCCCAGCAGCTGTCCTTCCGGATGTTGATGCTGTGCACGTGCTAGCAGGCGCGCAAGGGCTGTGTGCACCGTGTGCTTCTGGCTGGTCGGTGGTGGTTCCTTGCTGCATTGCTTGTAGTGAGGAAAGACTGGAAATAACCCCAGCATCCACCCACAAGGGACCAGTGAAATAAACCAAAAGGCACTTTTCCGGAATACAGTGCTGGGCAGTAATATGAAAGAAAGGAAGCTCGCGCGCTCTGTGTATAGCTGAGGAAAGGCATACGAGATACTTTTTTTTAAAAAAAAGGAAAGAAAACATTCTGAACAGGGTGTCCTGTACAGTGTGCTGCTTTTACGTAAAGAGGGAGGATGAAAGAGATTTTTGTGTTTGCTTGCATATGCGTCAAGGGGTAAGAGACATACAAATTACTGAGACTCTTTACCTATTTTTATGGAAATTTCTAATAGTAAATATTTTGCCTTTGTTCTCTGAAACATTGGCTGCTTTTTTTTCCCTCTGTTGGATTCCTTTGTGGCTTGTAAGGTGACTTGTTACACTGATTTCTGTGCCCCCCCCACGCTGATTGGCACCTGCTGACACTCAGTATACATCGTGCGCCGGGCATGTGCCTGGCATGCCCTGTGTGCAGTAGCTGGGTTTATTTATTTATTTATTTATTTATTTATTTAATTTATTTATAATATTTTGATTTGTGAGAGAGAGAGGGAACACAAGCAGAGGGAGCGGCAGGCAGAGGGAGAAGCAGGCCTCCTGCTGAGCAGGGAGCCCAATGCGGGGCTCCATCCCAGGATCCTGGGACCATGACCTGAGCTGAAGGCAGACGCTTAACCAACTGAGCCACGCAGGCGTCCCTGTGGTAGCTGGTTTTAGTGAAGGATGGAGACAAGGGCAGAGGGAGACTTCTATCTGCAGCGCATTTTATATTTCAACCATGTTACCTGTCCAAAAAACCCTGTGCAGTGGTTGTGAGGAGTAAGAGAGTATGTGTGAAGTGTGTGTGCTCTTCTGGGGTCACCTCCAAATGGGCCTGGAGCCTCGTGTGCCTAGGCAGACAGAGTAGGACCCTTTTCCAGGATGGGGTGCTCTCAAGGTGTGGCTGTGCCCACCCAGTTCCCCAGTGAGCGAGCTGAGCAGGATGAGCCCCTCTCCACAGCCAACCCCACTTTCTCGGGCTTCCCTGTTGCTCCCAGCACCTCCTCTTGCTGTCACTTCAGCTCCTGGTCTCTGCGGAAGGAAGGCTATTTTTGTCCAGGTTCTAGCATTGAGGTTGGTCCAATGCATTCCAGGTGGCCTCTGAAATCCTGGGCACTATGCTTTCCTTGTTCCCCTTCCAAATCCTCCCGAAGCTCTTGCCCCACCTGCCAGCTCTCCTGCCCCAGCCCCCAGGGCTCCCAGCCTGTACTTGTTCCTGTACTCTTAGGCTGACTGCAGGGGGTCTCTGTTAGCCCTGAAACTCTTAAAGGAATGGTTGTATTTTCAGGTCCAACTCCCACGTTGTTCCTTCTTCCCTCCGAGTGCTCGCCCTGGTCTCCCTCGCCTGCCTGCCCCCCCCGCCCCGGTGCACGCTGATGCGTGTGCTCTCACTCTCACTGTCCCGCACACACATGCTGTGTGGCCATTGCCATTGTTATCCACCTGGATTTCCACGGCTTCCCTCAGCTGCAAGTTAATCACAACCCAGGCTAGTGGGAGAAGAGTTGCAGCTCACCCTCTCTCCGGTCGCTGGCCACCCTTGGAATGAGAAGTCGCCACCAGCTCCACAGCCCCAGGTGGGGTTTCTGTGTTTTGAGAGGATCCTGCCTCCTCCAGCAGGCAAAGTGGTCACTGTGGGAACACCCTGGGCTCAGCCAAGGCCTGAGCAGGCCCTGCCTTGCTGTTCCCTAGAGCACAGCGGTCAGGGCCAGGCCCGAGCCGCCTGCCAATGGGAGCACTGCAGCAGCAGAACGGTGGCCGTGGCCGGGCTGGCGCAGGGAGGCCCCAGTGGGGCCGGGACGGAAGTGCGGCTTTACGCCTTGGCTCTGATTTGGACCTGCATTCACCTGCCTGGGCCCCTGCTGCTGGGGCTAGTACTGACCGTGTAAAAGCAGAAGACAACATGGTCTGCTCCTCCTTCGCCTTAGAAAACTCCGGGGCCAGGGAAAAACCAGACCTGTGTTCTCCTCTGAGGAAATAAACACCATTTGTTCTTTCTTTTCTTTGACCAGAAAAAAAAAAGTCCTTTTTTTAACTATAGTTGACACATTTATATTAGTTTCACATGTACAACCTAGTGATTACACAGTTGTACACATCACACAATGCTAACCCATGTAAGTGGGTAAGTATCGTCACCATCTGTCACCATACAGTGTTATTACAATATTATGGACTTTATTCCCCACACTGTGCTTGCTTACTTTTTATACATCCCTGTGACTTATTTTATAACTGGAAGCTTATACCTCTTAATCCCCTTCAACTATTTCACCCATCCCCCCCACCTCCGGCAACCACTAGTTTGTTCTGAGTCTGTTTCTTTTTGTTGTTCTTTGTTTTAATTTTCAGATTCCACATATAAATGAAAACGTATGTATGGTTTTTGTCTTTCTCTGACTTATTTTACTTAGCATAATACCCTCTAGGTCCATCCATGTTGTTAGTAATAGCAAGATTTCATTCTTTGTTTCCTTTGTTTCCATGGTCTTAAGCTGTTTCCATCTTTTTTTTAAAAAAAGATTTTATTTATTTATTTGAGAGAGAGAGAGAGAGCACTTGAGAGGGGGGAGGGTCAGAGGGAGAAGCAGACTCCCCGCTGAGCAGGGAGCCCGATGTGGGACTCGATCCTGGGACTCCAGGATCATGACCTGAGCCGAAGGCAGTTGCTTAACCAACTGAGCCACCCAGGCACCCAAGCTGTTTCCATATCTTGGCTGTGGTAAATAATGCTGCATTGATCTGTTCAAATTAATGTTTTCCTTTTCCTCCCGTAACTGTCCACAAGTGGAAGCACTGGAGCATACAGTCCTGCGGGTTTTTGTTGTCTGAGGAGCCTCCACGCTGTGTTCCACAGAGGCTGCGCCAGTTTCAGTAATTCACCAACACCGCACAGGGGGCTCCCTTTTCTTCACCTTGTCGCCAGCACTGGTTTCTTGTCTTTTTGGTTTTGGCCATTCTGACAGATGTCAGGTGATCTCTCACTGTGGTTTTGATTTGCATTTCCCTGATGATGAGTGATGTTGAGCATCTTTTCATGTGTCTGTTGGCCATCTCTGTGTCTTCTTTGGAAAAATGTCTATTCAGGTCCTCTACCCATTTTTAAAAATCAGATTTTTTTTTTTTTTTGGCGTTGGGTTGTATGAGTTCTTTATATATTTGGATATTAAACGCTTATTGGGTACATGATTTGTAGGTATCTTCTCCCATTCAGTAGGTTACCTTTTCTTTTTGTTGCTGGTTTCCTTCATTGCAGATGTCTGTCTTAATCATTAAAAAGCAAGGTTTCCTAGGTACAGATGCAGAGAATGTATCTTTTTCTTTTCTCTTCCCATTTTGTAGAGAGCTGCAGGCTTCAGGGGAACCCTGACCTGGGGACGTCTCCATGGCCTTGGGGGAAGAAAAGGCAGAGGTGGAGGCATCCGTGGACACAAAGACCCCGTCCTGCGGGCGGCAGAGCTGCGGGGCGCAGGAGGTGGACACCCCGGGGCTCGTAGGCGGGAAGCAGGAGGAGCCACCATGCCTGGAAGCCCAGACTGCGGCAGGGTCTGCCTCCCCCGTGTGGGGGATAGAGGGGCTGTCTGCCCCTGCCGCCAGCCCCTCTGGATATGACCAGCCCCAGGCCAACACCACCAGCAGGGAGCCAGTAGCTGGTAGATCTAAGCTTGCTCTTGGTTGCCTGCCCCTTCCTGCTGGCACTGGGACTAGAGACCCTTTGCACTCTGTGGCAAGCCAGGTAGGTAATACGGCAAATGGGACTGTAGATTTAACTATTGTGGTCCTTTGGGAGTATGTTTTAGCGTTTCCTTATCATCGTACCTGCTTTCCCAGCCCCTGTACAAGGAGGGGAATTGGGAGGTGGGGAGTCTGGGTGTGATGATTTCTGTTTTACAGGCTCACCTGGAGAGTTGGGCTTTGGGGCCAGTGGGGGACTCTGTCCACAGCATCTCCTGTTCCTCAAGAGTGTGACTGGTGACCTTCTGAAGACGGGGATGCTGTGGCCAAGACCTAGTGCCCAGAGGGCTGGGCCACAGGAGCTGTGATGGGGGGAGCCGTGTCCTGTTTCTGACTTGGTGATCTGAACTCTTGGGGGTGGGGGGCCCTGACGAGACTTGGGGCGGGAGGGTCCAGGGCTGTGGGCTCCTTCAAGCTCTGAGACTCTATCCCCTTGGGACCCAGGGAACCTGACAGAGCCTTGGAGCCCCCGTGGTGGGCACTACTGTCCCTGGGTAAGAAGAATTTCTTGGGCCTCCCTGACTGCAGGGAAGCCTTGCCTAGTCAAGTCACAGGGAGCAAGCAGTCGTGCTTGGCTCTGTGACCTCAATCTTTCAGGCCCTCAGTATATTTGGGAAGGTGACCTGAATGATCCGTCCTTCCCAGCTCTGACGTCCTATTATGTTCTGCTTGCCAAGGCCCTCCGTGGGAAAGGCTTTGATCGCACCAGGATCACTGTGGCCTTGGCTGCTGCATGCTGCCCCCACGCAGTTCTGCCCCGTGAGGATGCTCTGAGCATGACTGTCTGGGAGAAAACAGCAGCTGGGACCGTCTGCCTGGGAGCCAGGGGTGGTGCCCAGGGCACCTGTGAATCCGAGATTTAGTGAGGCAGCAAGTAAATGAGCAAACACAGTAATAGGCTGTTTCATGAGCTGACTACAGTGGGCTTATTATTGTGGTGCCTATTCGTTGAGCTCTGACCCTGTGCTTTTCACACCTGAGTTCCTTTAATCCTCATGTCCTGAGGAAGTGGTACTATTACTCTCCCCATTTCACAGATGAGGGAAGGGAGGCCCAGAGTCTCCCATCTGGAAGGTGGCGGTTGGGTTGGCATCAAGTCTGTCTGGTTCCAAAGCCCACGCCCTTAACCACCGTGCTGTCCTACCTTCCTCGGGGGCAAGTTCTTCATCGAACAGATGAGTTGAAGAGGCTGAGATGAGGGCCTCCCTTTGTTCATTTAAAACAGGCATGAGCTGAATGGGTGGGGCCTGGTGGGTCACCGGCGGGGGGGCGGGGGGGGGCGGGTGGATGAGTCTCGGGGCAGGGGTATCTCCTGCCCAGGACACGCTTCTCTGAGGTTAGGTGGTGTGCCCCAGCCCCGGTGTGCCGGAGCCGCCGTGTGCTTGCCTGAAGAGGGTGGGAGCGGTTTGGGGACGACGGTCAGCTTCCCGGAGCACGCGGAGCTGTCTTGCTGGCCCCTCGCCGCACGCTCTCTAGTTCTCGCATCAGATGGCAGACTCCGATTGCAAGAGCTCTCCTGAATATCATCTGGGTCCCCAAAGTTGTCCTCTAAGAAAGAAATTTGGTTTGCTTATTTTCACCTTAGTGCCTTTTCTTCCGTCTTCTCATTGCAGATGGAAGAGACCAGGCTTTCTGCCTCAGAGGACCTACCTCAGACTCTTAGCGTTCCCCGAGCCACAGGCATTTGCTCAGGACATGATGCCGACAGCGAAGATGACCCGTCCCCGGTTGAGTCGCCACGGGCACTAGACCTCAGCCAGCAGCCCCACAGCTTGGGTTTCCCTTTCCCGCCAAGGTGGAGGCCGTTGGGGAGCCAGGCCGCCGTTGCTCCTCAGTTCTCCAGCTGCAGCGTCTCTGCCTCCTCCCCGGGCAGCAGTCTGCAGGGTCACCGAGAGAAGGCAGAGCCTCCAAGTTGCTCCATTACCAAGGTCTCCTCCTCCCTGGAACTGGTCGTCCCCCAGTCGGCCCCCTCCATGGTGGGGCCAGGGCCGGGGCTCCAGTGGTCACCACAGCCTGCATCCCCCGGGGTTGATGCTCCTGGGCTGGGCAGGAGGCGCCTCTCCTTCCAGGCTGAGTACTGGGCCTGTGTGCTACCAGATTCCCTGCCTCCTTCGCCTGACCGCCACTCTCCGCTCTGGAACCCGAATAAAGAGTATGAAGATCTGCTGGACTATACTTACCCACTTAGGCCCAAACCTCAACTCCCAAAGCACCTTGACAGCCATATACTGGCTGACCCTGTCCTGCAGGACTCAGGTGTAGACCTGGATAGCTTTTCTGTTTCCCCAGCAAGTACCCTGAAGTCACCCACTAACGGCTTCCAGAATTGCCCATCAGCGGAGGCCTCTGCCCTGCCATTCTCTAGGCCCAGAGAGCCAAGCCTTATGCGGTGGCCCTCTGGAGTACCCCAGAAGCAGGGCAGCGTTGGTTTGGCATCTTGTAACCAGCTCACATCTACCCCCAGAGCCCCAGGCAGTAGGGATGCTCCTTGGGAGAGCAGAGAGCCAGCCCCGAGGGGTGTGAAGGACTGGCTCCCCACGGGCAAGCACCTTGAGGTCGGTTCTCCCCAGCTGAGGACATGGGACAGAGGGTGGCCTTTGCCCAGGACAGAGAGAGAGAAGGGGGCCAGCCAGGATGTCTGGCACCCTGGCTGCACAGAGTCTGGGTGGAAATCAGAAGAGGAGGTAGAAAGTGATGACGAGTACCTTGCCCTGCCCACTCGGCTGACGCAGGTTTCTAGTTTGGTTTCATATCTAGGTTCCATTCCCACCTTGGTGACCCTGCCCACTGGGGCTGCCGAAGGGCAGACCTCCCCGGACGTGTCAGACAGTGATGGGCCAGCTTCCCTCCCGTCAGACTCGAGCCAAAGCCAGCTTCCTTCTGGGGCTGCCTTCAGAGGGCCCAGGGGCCCCGAGGGCCAGAACCGCCGTTTGCTGCGCTCCTTCATCCAGGCAAGGGCCTCTGCAGGGGATGGCAGTGTGGGGAGCCGCCAGGCCCTGGGGGTCTCCGGACTGCTGGGAACACGCTCTTCCCTGCCAGCTGTGTGGGACCGGCGCGCGTGCTTGGACCCAGATGCCACAGGGCAGCCTCCCGGGAAGGGGGAGCAGGGAGAAGAATCGCTCGTGCAGTGTGTGAAGGTAAACCTACGTTCAAGGGGCTTCGCCTGGAGGTGTGGCTTCTGCCAGTGCATGGAATCAAACGTAGTAACCTCGAGCACTTTATATGTGCCAGGCACCGTGCTGTGCCTTCTCTTACTTGATTCTCACCACTCGGCCCAGTAAGGACTACTGTTGTTGTTCATGTTTGGAGAAAAGGCAGTGCGGGGTTAGGTAAGCTGCCTACCCAAGGCTGGAGCCTGAGCTTAACCACCACTCAAGGCTGCTTCCTAGGCCTCTTGACCTTGAGGATTAAGAGGTATTCTGCACAAGAAACGTCTGTGCTCACATGCCTTTAGGAAATACTGAACGAAGGTAAATGGTTTTCTTGACTGTAGGACTTCTGAGAGCTTCAGTTTGATAAAGTGGTGGAGCTGCAGAGTTGGGAGTCATTAGATGCACTATGTCCTAGCCATTTGGTCACCAGACCTCTCATAGACGCGTGACAAGGTAGAATTCACACTCTGTGGAACAGGGTCTCCAGCATCAGGCAGATCTGAATTTGAATCATGGCACTGCCGTATTTGGAATTTCAGCTCAGTCTTCTGAGTTTGCTCATATGTAAGACGTGGAGCCTTGCCTCTTTGGGATGTTGTGTGGATTACATGAAATAATTCATGTCGAGGGCTTTGCGTAGTCCCTGATACAAGGATGTTCGGGAACACGGCTACACACACCACACCACACCACACCACACCACACCACACCACACCACACCACACCACACACCACACCACACCACACACCACACCA